GCCTTCACCTTTGAAAGACACTTATGAAACTTACAGAGGCTTTCCTCATACAACAGGATAAATTGTGTTTAAATTAGGAAATCAGCTGCTCCTTGATTAGTCCTCGATATATCATCAGACAAACTTTAGCCCCCATCGGCTTCCTGTTTTATGCTACAAATCTTAACTTTCACCTGTTTCAACCAAGCTGCAGTAACTACACCATAGTACATTAAAACAACTAACTTTTCCATACAGCATGAAATTAATTCTCACTAAGCTATTGTTAGGCTATTCAAAATAATACTAGTTTGAATACATGACAATGTCCTATACAAAAATTCAGCAGAAACTATCACACCTGCTGCTGCTTGCATTTTTTCCATTAAGAAGATGTTCAAACTGGCTTCAATTTTCTGATTTTACTATTAAGTATGGGGCCATGCCAGGTCATGTAACAGCAATGAGTAAATCTCAAAAACATAAGGCTGACTTTTTAAAGGAAAACAATTTATAGAATGATGCTTACGTTAAATGATAACATACATGTAAAGTTTTTCTAAAAAGGCAATCTTTCACAGAGTTTATGGACCATATCTATCAGCCCCACCTGGGGACAACAGGTTACTGCCAGGAAAGATGTCCTCCAACATACCAACTCTGGAATTAGTGGCTACATGGGGTGGGGAGAGGGTGGGGATAGACAAGTGGGTGATATTTGTTAAAGTCGGGAGGTGGAATACAGGTACTCATTATATTAGCCTATGTGCCTTTCTGGATATTTTAAATACAGGTATATCTTGGAGATACTGTAAGTTCACTTATAGACCACTGCAATAAAGTAAATATCTCAATAAAGTGAGTCCCACAAACTTTTGGTTTCCTTGTGCGTATTAAAGTTATGTTTACACTATACCGTAGTCTATTCAGTGTGCAACAGTACTATATCTAAAAGAACAATGTATATAGCTTAATTTAAATATGCTTTATTGCTAAAAATGCTAATGATCATTTCAGCCTTCAGCAAGTCATAATTGTTTTGCTGGGGTAGTATCTTGCCCTCAATGTTGATGGGTGCTGATTTATCAGGGTGGTGGTGGTTAAAAACTGGAGTAACTGTGGCAATTTCTTAAATTAAAACAATAATGAAGTTTGCCACATCAATTGACTGCTTCTTCCACAAATGATTTATTTGTAGCACGTGATGATGTTTGATAGCATTTTATCCACAATATAACTTCTTTCAAAATTAGAGTCAACCATTCCTATTCAACATAGTACTGAAAGAGCAATCAGGCAAGAGAAAAAAGATAAAAGGTATCCAAATAGGAAAAGAGAAAATTAAATTATCTCTCTTCACAGATGATATGATTCTATATCTAGGAAACCTGAAAAATTTCATCAAGGTTCCTAGCACTCAAAAGCATCTTCAGTAGAGTCTCAAGATACAAATTTCAATGTTCATAAATCAGTTGCATTTTTATACACCAATAACGTTCAAGCTGAGAACCAAATCAAGAAAACAATCCCATATACAATAGACACACAAAAAATAAAATACCTCAGAATACATCTAACAAAAGCAATGAAAGATCTCTACAATGAGAACTAGAAAACACTGCTGAAAGAAATCAAAGATGACAGAAACAAATGGAAAAACATTCCATGCTCATGGATTGGAAGAATCAACATTGTTAAAATGTCTATACTGCCTAAAGCAATCTATAGATTCAACCAAATTACCAGTATCATTTTTCACAGATCTAAAAGAAAAAAAAATAATACTTAAATTCATATGGAAACCAAAAAGAGCCCAAATACCCAAAGTAATCCTAAGCAAAAAGAACAAGACCAAAGGTATCATGTTATGAACTTTAAACTTTATTACAAGGCTATGGTAACCCAAATAGCATGGTATTAGTACAAAAATAGACACATAGACCAATGAAACAAAATTGAGAACCCAGAAATAAAGATGTTGTGTTATAACAGTCTCATCCTGGACAAAGTTGACAAAAATAGACACTGGGAAAAGGACACCCTGTTTAACAAATGGTAGTGGGAAAACTGGCTAACCATATGTAGAAGAATGAAGCTGGACCTCTTCCTCTTGCCATCTACAAAAATTTACTCAAGATGGGCCAGTGACTTAAACATAAGTCCTAAACCACAAAAATCCTAGAAGAAATCCTAGGAAACACTCTTCTGGACATTGGCCTAGGCAATGAATTCATGACCAAGACTTCAAAGCAAAAGCAGCAAAAACCAAAATTGACCAGTGGGACTAATCTGACTAAATAGCTTCTGCACAGCAAAAGAAACCATCATCAGAGTACATATACAACCCACAGAATGAGAGAAAATATTTGCAAACTATGCATCCGACAAAGGATGAATATCTAGAATCTACAAAGATCTTAAATTAACTGACAGGAAAAAAAAACCAATAACCCTATTGGGCAAAAGACATGAACAGACACTTCTCAAAGGAAGATATACAAACAGCCAGCAAACATATGAAAAAATGTTCAACATCATTAATAATCAGAGAAATGCTATGAAAACCACAATGAGATACCATCTTACACCAGTTGGAATGACTATTATTAAAAAGTCAAAAAACAACAGATGTTGGTGAAGTTGCAGAGAAAAGGAAACTCTCCTTACACTGCTGGTGGAAATGTAATCTATTTCAACCCCTATGGAAATCAGTTAGGAGACTTCTCAAATAACTAAAAATAAATTTGCCATTTGATCCAGTAATCCCACTACTGGGTATATATGCAAAGGAGCATTAACCACTCTACCAAAAAAAACACCTGCATATATATGTTCATCTCAGCGTAATCCACAATAGCAAAAACTTGGAATCAATCTTAATGCTCATCAGCAGTAGACTGGGTAAAGAAAATGTGGTACATATACACCATGTGACAATTAAAAAAAGAAAAAATCATGACCTTTGCAGCAACATGGATGCAGCTGGAGACCATCATTCTAAGTGAATTATCACAGAAATGGAAAACTGAATACTGCATGCTCTCACTTATAAGTGGGAGCTAAACACTGAATACACACAGGCATAAAGGACAGGAACAACAGACAATGGGGACTCCGAATGTGGAAGGCAGGGAGGGGGTAAGAATTAAAAAACCACCCATTGGGTACCATGCTCACCACCTAGGCAATGAGCTCAATAAAAGCCCAAACCTCACCAACACGCACTATTCCATTTAACAAACCTGCACATGTACCCTTTGAATCTAAAAAACGTGTTTTAAAACTCTGCACACCCTTAGACTATGTACATGTAAAGAAAAAGTTGATAAAATGGTACAGTATTAAAGGTAATAATCTGAAACAATGTGAATAAATAATTTCATTTATATGATATTGTGAAGAAGATACAGCTACAGGGACAAAAATCCAATCGGTGGTCACCAGGGGATAGAGATGGAAGGAGGAGATTGATGACAAAGAGACAGGAGGAAACTTGGGGGTTACTGATATACTCTATCAAGAGATTGGTAAGACTCTGGTGGTGGTTATATGACCTTTCACATTTATTGAAACTCAACGAGTCATACACCTAAAAAGTGTGAATTTTAATATATACAAATTATACCGCAATAAACCTGACTTTAATTTTAAAAGGTAATTTTTTTTTTTAAGAGACTGGGTCTTGCTTTGTCACCCAGGCTGGAGTGCAGTGGAGGGATCATAGCTCACTGCAACCTTGAACTCTCCTGCCTCAGCCTCCCAAGTAGCTGGGGCTACAGGCATGCACCACCACATCTAGCAATTTTTTTTTTAAGAGACAAGGTCTCACTATGTACCCAGGCCACACCTGTACTCAAGTGATACCTTAGCCTCACAAAGTGCTGGAATTACAGGAGTGAGCCACCACGCCCAGCCAGTATCCTCTTAACCAGCAATGTAATCCTAGCTTTCCCATAGGTTACAAAAGTATTGTGCAACAGGATATTGTTTAGGTGTGGTCATTCATGTTGCTACAAAACTGATTCCATCTCTCATTCCAATCTTCCCACAAAGAATGCCAAGAGTACTACCAAGGCCACCAGCCTCAGGACTAAGGGTGAATGGGGAACTACCATGAGTCGATCTACTTGGCAGGCTGCAATTAACTCCAGTTAATTGCTCTGGAGTGCCACTTCATGAATAAGAATGTTGTTGTTGTTGTTTTTTACATGTTTGAAATAAGCTTTACATGATTAAAAAATATTTAATACATAAATGTATTGTTTGAAGTTATAAAGTAAATATGCCTACGTCCAGTTATTATTATGGAAAGTATCTGTAGGGGCCACGAGTATCACAACCTAATTAAGACTGGTTGCATTTGAGTTTGGGCATATATACACAGTTGCTGATTCATTATCTCTATCTAAGCTGTCCAAATGCATGACCTACAGTGCATACCCAGTAAGTATTTAATAAATTAATAATTACTTCCATTGCATTCAATGTAAACTGGGCCAAGAGAAGCCTCAACAATAGCTTTTCTTAGAAGGGGAAAAAACTGTTGAAATGCTACCTTCAACTTTCAACCAACAAGGCATTAAACCTTTCCTCCCCTTTCTAGTGTCTCAGTCCTTGGGATACAATTCTTCCTTAGCTCTTGAACTGCCAAGAACTGCTTTCTAGAAAGAGAAATGGTGGTGGGCCATAGCACAGGAGTAAAGACAGGAGGGCTTTGCTTTGTGCGAGTGATGCCGTCAGCACAAAAAGCTTGCTGCACAGAAGACTCTCTGGTCACCTCCACAGAAGACAGCCCATGCTTCTTAAACTAATATACACAGTTATCTGACTCTATAGTTACTACAAGAGGAACCATGTTAGAAAGTTGTCTTTAAAGGCAATCACAGCTACTAAGAGAGGTCAGTCCTCTTTAAATCTTTAACTCACCTTCCCTACAGATAGAAACAGATGTTAATCTTTATTTTAACATGGGCAGTATCATATTGTGCCAGCTACAAAAACAGAAAAGTCTTTTAAGTATATACTTTAGAGTTCTACCCAGTCTTTATTTCTATTAACAAGTATGCCACTTAAAAGAGCAATATTTTTGTCTTGTGCCTTGAAAGACCCTGGAAAACAGGTTTTTTAATATGTGGGGACATATTTTTCACTGTAAAAGTACGCAATGAGCTATTCCCACAAGAGCTAGCTCTGTGTTTTAGTTCCCACTGACTGGTCCTGGATTCAGGAACTGCTCCATTATCTGTCCTTTGAGCAGTAACTGAAGGAAGCTCCATTTCTGATGGAGCCGTTCACAGAAACCTTTGGGTTCCCTCTTTCCATTCTTTCTCGGCTGAAGATTGTGTCCTGGTCACTGTCAAACTCAGACTCAGACACCATCAGGCTGGAGTTGTGCTCTGTGCTTCGGTGTTTGATACCTAGGGAGAAGCAGATGGAAGGATCTGAGGAGAAACAGCGCCATTCACTTTCCACTGTCTCCTTCGGGTTGCTAGTCATCTGAGGAGCATGGACTTGAGTTCTCCACACCTTCAGAGCAGTCACTCACAACATAGAAGGTGACATGGGTTTCCTAGTGAGTAATAACAGGGGCTTCGAGGTCACATCTGAACTTAGGTCTCAGCTTTGACATTCACCAGCTGCATAATCCTAGGCAAAACACTTCAACTCTGGGCTTTCAGTCTCCTTCTCTCTTAAACTGGAAGACAAGAAGACATCTACTCCATGGGTTTATGGTGAAGATTAGGTGAAATTGTTCAGGGAAAGCTCTTGGCCCAGCATTTAGCACATAGTAAGTGCCCAGTAAACAAAAGCTGTTGTGATATTACTATTTGATTCAAAATTTTTTGGTAGAATATTTGGTCTCTTTTGGCATCAAAATAAGAGACAGAACAGGTATAAGATATGACCCCTGCTCTCAAAGAATATATAGTGTCTAGCTAGGGGTTTAAGACATAGACTTATAAGAAGATGGCTCATAATAAGTGGGAAATTTTTAAAAATAAGTCACATAAATCAAGAGGAAATGAGCACACACATTTGAGACTGGGGTTTGGGATGAGTAGGATTTGAAGAAAGAGGAGGCTTTGAACAGGAGGACAGGCGAGGGGCATAGACTGGACAGAGGCATCAGAAATATCTAAAGAAAACCAGTCTGTTTGGAGCAAACAGTTCATGTAAGAAACAGTGAATGAGAGGCTGGAGAGAAAAAGGAAGGCTAGGACCTCACAGAAAAGCACATGAATACAAAGTAAACCATGGCTGGGCTCGGTGGCTCAGCCTGTAATCCCGCACCTTTGGGAGGCTGAGGTGAGTGGATTGCCTGAGCCCGCCGGTTCGAGACACGCCTGGGCAACTTGGCGAGACCTCATCTCTACAATAAATCAAAAATTAGCTGGGCGTGGTAGCGCGCGCCTATAGTTCCAGCTACTTGAAGGCCGAGGCCGAAGGATCGCTGGAGCCGGCCACTGCACTCTAGTCTGGGCGACAGAGTGAGACTCCAACTCAAAAAAAAAAAAAAAAAGTAAACCATGAAGTTTGGGTTTTATCTTATAGGCAGAGGAATGACAAGATTAAAATGTTGTTTTAAGATATTAATAAAACTAAAGTGTGCAGGAGGGAAGGACAAAAGAGAGGCCACAGGAGAGCAGACTGTAGACACAGGGGCTGCTATGGTCTGGATGAATGTGTTAAAACCTAATCCCCAAGGTTATGCCACTAACAGATGAGGCCTTTGGAGGTGATAAAATGGGTTTGATGCCCTTACAGAAGAGGCACTAAAGGCTGCCGTGCTCCTTCCACCATGTGGGGATGCAATGAAGAGTGCCATCTATGAGGAACTGGCCCTGAGCAGACACTGAATATGCCAGTCCCTCCATATTGGACTTCCCACCTTCCTGCAAGACATAAATGCCTGCATAAGCCACTCAGATGGTGGTATTTTGTTAGAGCAGCCCAAATGAACCAAGACAGCAGCAGTGCAGTGTAGAGGAAGAGAGCCCAGGATCTGGAGTTTGTGGCTGGTTTTGACTCACCTTTTGGTTGACACTTACCAGTTCTGGACTTTAAAATCAAACATTTCCCAACAGTTGCATTAGCTAATTAGCCATATACATAGATGGACACAAAGGCTTTTACAGATAATTGACTTTTTTCAAAAAGTGTATTGATTTCTGCTTGGGCAAATTGCTAAACTTTTCTTTGCCTCAGTTTCCTGTTCTGTAAAATGGAGTCATGGTTCTGTGTAAAATGCAGACAGCCAAAGTGCATACCTCATAGAGCTGCTGGTGGGATTAGAATTAAATGGGTAAAGTGGTTTGAAAGTACCTAGTACATAAATGCTGTTTATTATTGTTATTACTATCACTTCTAATGTGAAATTATCAGCATCTCAACTAGGGTGGCGATGATAAGGATGAGGAAAAAGGGCAAGAGACTATGCAAGATGGGTGGCTGGATTGGGGGGTAAGGGAGAGCAGCAGTAACTGAGGCTTCTAACCTGGGCAACAGGGACTGGGATGGGACTTCTCTGACTAGAAATAGGAATGTCAGAAGGATGTGTGAACTTAGAAGAAAAGTGGGGAGACAATGCAACCTAAAGCACTTTGTGCTCTTGGTATAAAATCACTTTATAATACCTCTGATACTAAATTATGCAATGCAAATGGCGAGCCCTCAATCAACATATGCTATTTGTATTTCCTATGAATCATTTTCTGCCAAAGCCCCTTACCTACATCTCTATGAACGATCAATCATTCAGACCTCTGTGTTCCCAGCAGGGTCTGTGCTGCTCCAGGACTCCTTGCAGTAAAACTAGCCTTCTCCAGGCTGTGAGCTGCTATCAAAGCAGGCCCAGTATCTGATTCCCTGACTCCGGGGCCTAACCTGGTATCTATGCACAGGGTAGTCCCCAACATTTACATTGGGCAACATTTAACATCTCACAACTTTGAAATTCATTATGTCCTTCTGTAAAAATTAATTTAGTTATAAACCCAGAATTATGGAAAATTGATAGAATCAGTGTTAAGCAGCCTCAGAGGGCCAGAGACGTTTCAATGGGTATACAACAGTTAATACACGAGAATCAGAAAGTTAACTGAAGTAGGCAAGAAGTGGTTCTGAGCGTAGCAATCAATACACTTTGTGAAGGTCCATTTTCTGTAAAAGCCTTCATGTCCATCTATATACATGGCTAATTAGCTAATGCAGATGCCAGAAAATGTTTGATTATAAAGTCCAAGTGTCCTCTAACTGCATTTCTGGTCTAGCAGACCTAAAAAGAACAGCATTCGGAGCTGAGCTGTGGGGAAATATCATCGGCTGCCCCTCACCTTCCAATCAGGAGTCAGGCACTGGGAACACATCTGTTTGCAAAGCACTCTTTGCCTGTGGCAATTTGGTAAGCGCTCAGTCAATAAAAGGCATTTCATACCTCCCATCCACTAATGCCTCAAAGTATTATGCCAAAATTCCATTAAATGTAAGATAAAACTACTATTCCCCAGTTAGCACACCCTACAGTTGATGTAGGTTATTTTCCATCACAGAATCCCAGCCTCGCTCTTCCTTCCCAGGGAAAGTGCTGACTCTAGCCTCTTCTCCCTTGACCCAATGTAACTCTCAGGCAAATAACTGGATTAAATAATTTAAAGATGCCAGGAAGACATCCTAGAGACTGTCTTACCATATTTGGGTCTCAGTTCCATTCTTTCCTGTTCATCCATGTTATCCAGAATCGTGTACTTTGTTTTTTTTCTTATTTTCGTCCTTTTTTGTCTGAAATGAACAATGAAAAACTTGACTCAGATTCTCAGAAAGTAACTGGGATCCAGGATTTAAAACACAGGAAGACACTAAAGGAAATATTTTGCCTTTAGTATGAATAGTTGGCATCTTTTATTAATGAATCCATGTACGGCCAGGTCAGAGCTCAGTGGGCCCTAAGTACCCAATGCATCTTGGAGAAACACACTCAGGCAGATGAATAGCCACACCATTGTCCATCACTACAGGTCTCAGCTAAGCTTCAGGCTGCAGTGCCAGGGACCTTTAGTGCAACCCTTAATACCTAATGTGTTGACCTGTGGAGCTTTTTTCCATGAGTAATTCCTTTCTTAGAAAAAGCTGGATGAGCAGATTTTTCCCCAATCCTATGGAATTTTCAATGTGACAGAAATGAAAAGTAGGGGAAAAAAAAAAAAAACAACCCCAGCAGCAATTAAATTCCCAGAAACAATTAGCAACAACCCAGTCTTTCATTTTTTCCCACAACCCATGAAAATTGGCTGGTCCTATATGCCTCATCCTATAAATAGAGGATTATTTGAAAATATACATCAAAACCATGTTAAGGTATGTAAAGAACAAAACAGTAATTTCATAGCAAGGGCAATTTCTGACAGTGTAATGATTATGAGTCTCGAACCCTCAGTTTAGCACTTACTAACTGGTGACCTTAAGAAAATCATGAGACTTCTATTCCTCTATGTCCTCACCTGTAAAAAGGGAGTAAAAACAGTCCCTTACTCCTATACTTGATGGGAGGACTAAATAAAATAATACATATAAAGCACTTAGCCATTAATCACAATGGCAAATTCTTAATACATGTTCACAGTGATCACTACCATTATTACCACCATCTACTTCACCATCACAAAGCTGCATGACCACTGTCCCAATGTGTCTCTGGGAAATTTAAGCCTCTGTCTAGGTGTCTGTGCCCAGCTCTCTTTCACCAGTCTGAACTTTGGGAATGTAATCACAAGTAAGACTAAAATCATCTAAGTGATTTCTGTAAATAACTATTAAATATAGTATACCTATGTTTTTAATCACATCATCTTTGGCAAGCATTTATAGTGTTTCATATTTTAAAAGTGAACCCAAAGCTCTCTTCTAAGGACTTGCGTAATCACTTTTCCCACAAGTCTCCTCACAGAGGGTTGAGCATGGGGTTCTGGAAGATTTGGACCATGGGGTAGCTCAGAGGCTTCTCAGAGGTCAACTCCATGGAAAAAGAAAGACAGAAAAACCTAAAGCAAAAGTTCCCTTTGGTGGCCTCAATAAGTTTTAAACTTATTAAAAAGGATTCAGATAAATTAGATTGTTGCTTCACATAATAAAAATAATAGAAATCTACAATTTGTATCAGTATACTTCTAAAACTCCTTACTGAGACTTGTGAGGTCACTTAGGTATGTATGTATGTATGGATGTATGTATGATAGATAGATAGATAGATAGATAGATAGATAGATAGATAGATAGATAGATAGATATAGATGATAGATAGATTGATTTTCATCCATAGTTCCTTGCTTATAATTCCCATAGCCCTTGTTATAATTTGGGGTGTTTTAGGCCTTAGAAAACAGGCCTCAGAAAACAGAATATCTCTCTCTCTCTGATCCTCTCCTGTCCTTCTTTCACCTGCTCCTTTTTCTTCCAAAGGCAGGAATCTTCCACCACCTTTCTGTCTTAGAGCGGCCGTAAAGTAATTCTGACCTAGCTTGTCTGATTGTCAGTCATAAAATCCCCAGTTCAGAAGGTGTCTTACCACATACCCAGAAGGAAGGAATGCTGCACACAGAGGCCTTGCTGGGTTTCCCCCTCGGTCTATTTGTGTTAAGATAATATCTTTTTTGCCCAGTCACATTTCTACATGGTCTTTAATCATGCCTATCCAATGAAGACTCCACAAAAGACCCAAGAGTACAGGTACGGAAGCTTCTGGACAACCAAACACATGGAGGTTCCTGGTGGGTGGTGTGTCCAGGGACAGCACGGAAGCTCTGGGGTTTTTCTCGTACCTTGCCCTATGCATCTCTTCATCTGTGTTCTTTGTAATATCCTTCATAATAAGTCAGTAAACATGCTTCCCTGAGTTCTATGAACCACTGTAGCAAATTAAACCCAAGGAAAGAGTCATGGGACCTAATGTATAACCAGTCGGTAGATGCACGGGTAAAACAAGCTGGGACTTGCAATTGGAACCTGAAATAGGGGAGGGGACAGTCGGGATCTGATGCTATCTCCAGGAAGATAGTGTCAGAATTGAGTTGGAGAACACCCAGCTGGCATCTGCTGCAGAACTGATTGCTTGCTTGGGGTGTAGAGAGAAACTTCACACATTTGGTCACAGAAGTTTCTATGTCGATTGTTGTTGAATAAGAGAATAGAAGAGGCATTTTGAGTTTGTGTTTTTCCACTCACAGTACTGCCCTAGTGCATATAATGTGAGACTGATAGAGAATAACATTAGAATTGATACAGAATAGTTCAGCCTCCACTGGGAGGTATGTGCCTATCATTCCAGCTACTCCAGAGGCTGAGGCAGGAGGACTGCTTGAGGCCGGGAGTCCATAATCAGCCTGGGCAACATAGTGAGACCTCATCTCAGGAAGAAAAAAAAAAGTATTGAATATCCTAGAAAATACAAGAGGCAATGAGAAAAAGCTGTCTCCAGTGTTCCATTTATGTAGGCACTTATGCCTTATGGCAGAAAGTGAAATCTATTTTGTCTTCACAAAAAAGTGACTGTGAAACAGTTTAGCAATTTACCAAATCCAAGCCAACAACACTTAAGTTGTCACATAACATTTAATGAGGTGTCTTTATTTCACATAAGTAAGCACACCAGGTACCTCTTGCAGAAGCAGATGCAAAGCCAAGTGAAGCCCCCTGTCAGCATGATAAGAGTAAAAGCCAACACTGTCACATAGAATATACTCCACCCTGAAAAACAAGAACCAGAGTGGACATAGTTATATACTATTTGCAAAACAACTTTATTTTGATGGTTCACAATGAATATTTCAGAGTTCCTATAACTAAAGGCCACCTGTGGTGTTGATAACACCTCATTGGGCTGGTAGCAGGGCATGGCAAGACACAATACAAATACATCAGAACAACCTATAACTGCCCTGTTTTGTCCACTGGTATAGGGACCTCATGGAGCACATATTTCATGCTGACTTGAAAACAGAATAATCAGAAATAAAGAGAATTAGTCAATTACATAGTAATGCTGCTTATATAAGCACATATGTATGACATATCAATATATTCATCCTAGAATGCCAGGAATCATAAACCTTCCCCAAAAAAGTTCTGACATGGTTTCAATAAAGTAGAGAAAGCATCTGTATGGCTGCCTATGCCATGAAGACATTTTTCAGAACTAGAGAGCAATTCAGAAATAACCTGATCTTTATTCCTTCCACAACCTTGCAGAAATCCAACATAAAAAGCTTTCCAACAACAAGTTTGGGACACAGAAGCCCTGGGAACAAAGACATAGATTAACTCTATTACATGTTATATAATATTCTTGGAATAGTCATCCAAGGACTGGCTATTTTCTAATTTTTAGGTAGAATTAAGTAGGAACATAATTTGACAGTCAGCTGTTACAATTTTTTCTGCCAATTATGTCCATCTGTTTCCCTCAAACAAAAAATTTACTCTAAGAAGTAGTAGACTGGCATTAAAATATAGTTTTCTCCCCCGAAGAGATGTAAAGACACCAGCGTGGCTTACCAAGGCAGTGGCTCCTATTTTTGATGTCTGCTTGGGCACCAAAGTAAATGCAGCACCTTGTGATAGGGTGCAGGAAGGGTGGGTCAAATTTATCTGATTCCAGCAGGTCCACACCTAGGGTCACTTCACCAGAAAATCACACCAAAGCAGGTGCAATCAGGAAAAGTAGCCCATGGCCCAAACCAACTCTTTCTTAGAAATGCCAACGATAGTTGGCCAAATCTGCTCTGCCCAAGTGAACTTCCTCATTAGGAAGTTTTATGTAAACGCCTAAACACAGCCCTAACAGTGGATCTTAACTCACTATCAATGAGCTGGTTCACTTGAGAAAAACCTGCTTTGCTAGAGAAAAAGAGGTGAATGTTTACAGCTGCAAAGCTAGGCAGATACTCCTGAGCTTTGATTTGGCTTAGGGTTCCTTGCCCAAAGCCATCTCCACACCAGAACTCACCACAGTTGCTCTCCCCATCCCAGATATAACGCTGTATAAGGTTCTCCATCCAAAACTGAGAGCAAATGCAGCGTTTTGTGATGGGGTCACAGTGACCATGGCCAGAACACTCCAGAAAGCAACCTGCAAAGAGAACATGTGGGGCTGAGGTCACCATGGAAAAAAGGGATCCCTGGCTTCAGCCCCTGTAGTATCTTCAGTGGAATATCCACACATTGTTGAATTAAGAGCCTCTTCCGGTACAGGCAGGGGTTTTCTTACGTTACAGACAAGGTTTCTGGGGATGATCTCTCTTCATTGACAATCTCATCAGCAAAAGACAGAAAAAAGCCAATCCACACCACGTAGCAAAACCCTTAAAATGCAGCAAAATCATAGCACCCTCTGGTCTAAGAAAATAAATTTTAAGAATCTATCCAGTGAAATTAAGGATATGTACAAAGATGTATCTATACTGTAGCATTATTTAAAATCAACTTTAGGAGACGGGGCAAGATGGCGACAGCATAGGTGAACTGGTGAGATTCTCTGAACGGACCA